TTACTGATACAAATGTGATCTATCTGGTTCTCCGTGGTGTGATCCAGTGAGACCCATGTAGCTTTGTGTATGCGTTTGTGTGGGAATATTATGCCACATATGACCTAATTGTTGAAGCACCAAGGCAACTCTCTGAGTGTGTGGAGCATTTCCCTTCGCGGCCGGAGTTGTCAGGTAACGCAGTTGTCAGGAAACGGGTACTAGGTAAGGATGGCAAATCAATTGATGACGTAGTGAAACTCCATCAGTTGAGATGGCTGGGACACGTGTTACGTATGCCCAACCACAGACTGCCTCGACGTGCGATGTTCAGCGGTATAGGAGTAGGTTGGAAGAAAGCTAGGGGCGGCCAAACCAAAACATGGCACAAGTCCATGAAGTCACTGACAAGTGGACTGAGTCATGTTGGTAGGTGTAGACTACCTGGTTGGGGACCGCGAAATGATAGCAACCGATGGTTAGAGACCCTGAATGACATAGCTCAAAATCGTTTGCAATGGCGCAGGTGCATACACTCTTTGTGTTCTCCCAAATTCTAATCTTCTGAATTCTTCATGTCCCTTTTTTCCTCTTTCCAAATTTATTTCACTGGATTATACTCTTTAAATAACATCTCCAAACCCTAATCTTTCCGATTACTGCTTATACTCTTATTACTTCTACCACTACGGAATTTGAATTGACCACTGCATCTCTGTGCTAATGTGGTGTGGCAACTCGAACTGATGTACGTACGTACGAAGTTCTACGTTGTTACTGACTGACTGACTGGAGTACAACATCTCTCCCGTATCTAGCTTTTACTTTCTAGCTTGGGTCGAATGGGTTTAAGTTGATTCCGAATACTGTCAAGTTATCTCTTCATTTCCGTTGCTATTTGTTTAGACATCCCAGTCTCCCGCATTGTCCGAACTTTCCATGTACCTCTGAAAGTTGTTGCTCTGGTTGTTAGAAGAGGCATCAACCTTGTGACTTCCGAAGAATCTCGATTTTTATCCTGTGGTGAAATAAATCTTTCTTCAACTCCCAGGGCAGAGTTTTATTTATTTAAACACAAATATTGGTACAAGGAGGCACTAAATAGATATGCGCCACATAAATCATTCGGTCTGTGTGACGGCTAGGATACTGCCCGGTTGCCCAAACCGAAACAGGTGGTTTCCTTAGGAGGCCACACCCGAGCATTTAACCTAAAGGTCTAATCCACAGGGCAGTGGAGCAACGTAAGAGAATGCAGTCCCATAGTAACTAGTGACCAACAACAGGTTCATATGCCATTTGTTCCCTCAGGATACTGGAGCCCATGTGCACCATTGGTTTTGAATCAGGGTTTTCTAAATCCCCTAGGTGGATCCTCCATATCGACCAACCCGGTTAAAGTGCCGGACATTCGCTTTTCGTCCTCTCAATTTCGTAAACGACACTCCCACCGTGAGAAGGTATTGAGTAGGACTTCCCTGGTAGTGATGGTGATGTGAGCATTTCGAGAGGGAGAGCTGACTCTCCCCACTCTTGGCCGTACCAGAGCATTTAGGGACAGGGCAGAGTTTAAATGACTTAATTTGTCTAATCTGATTAGCGTTTTCTTAGCAAGATTTTTTTCTACGGTATGGGGTTGCTGACTTTACGCTCAACCCTCCTTTACCCGGGCTTGGGACCGGCAGCAACTCTAGGATAGGTACATGAGCAGTTTTACATATTACGACCAGTGATTTGAGACGTTGGGTGACGTGACTAAAAACCAGACAGTGGTACAGATACCACACACATACTTAGATTTTGAGCTTCTATATTCCTCCATACATAGATTATTTTCGAACAACAATTTCAATATTTAGTTTTCCTTACTATCATTCATACTTCTGTTATTTCGACTCGTTCACTAATCATCTTGTTGGTTTTACATTGTGCCGATATGGTATGAGAACTTGGGCTAACATGTACTTTGTGACAGGATCTACGCCCATTATGACTAATTGAGGAACCTTAATCTAGTTATCCTATATTACAGCTTTATCTTTTATTTTTAATGATTGTAGTACTTTACTCTAAATTATTAGATAATTGGGAACATAGGCATAAATTACCAGTTGATTTTAGAACAGATAACTAAATTAGGGAACACCTGTATTTAAGCAATCACTAAACAGTAGCTAATGGTAAAAAAAATAGGGTCGAAGCTTGTTTCAAAATTCACTCACTTTCCGAAAATCGAATATTTCATATCTAACATGGTTTGTTTACTGTAGGTGATGAAAAACTGGGAACCATTAGAATCGGGACCATTATTAGCCATTGACATGATTCCTCGAGCATTATGCTATTGTTAACATAACAAAGATTGTTTTTGTTGCAAATTACCCTTAGTGAGTCATGAAATTCATCTTTGAATCGTTTTTTCCAAATACTCTGTCCGTTTTTGCCAGTTCCTTAAAAAACAGGCACATTGAGTTAAAGTTATACATGCATTATTCACCTTACCAGTAGGATCCCCAGTCTGCACTATAAAACCTTTGATATTACGATGAAATATGCAGCCTTTATAATAATCCGAAGCACACAATGCTAAAAAATTCTACAAATTAGGGAAGAGACATATACAAAGATTTTTTAAAAAACATGTAAGGACACAAAAACGTATGTACAAGCTAGAATCTTATTTATAAATATTTTTTTATAAAAAAATATGTTGTTAAAACTAAAAAGATAATTGTTTGTATACATGTTAAGACTGAATGGGATCTACCAGATGGTAGTAGTCAGGATCATTTACAAATTTTAATTTGGTACAATCATCAAAATCAGTCAAAGCAAGAAGACCCCATTTAGAATTTTCATTTTTATTACACTGCATTTTTAAAGTATCCTGTAGTGCACGACATATCTGCACAAAACTTGACCAATGATCCTCATTGATACCAGACCAGATATTACATTGTGGATATGTAGGGTCTGGACAGAGTACATAATGTTTTCTATGAGGTATCACATGATCTGTATACTCAGTACCAGTAGATTCCAGTCGTGGTGTTAAACAGCCATTACGAAGGTCAATGATTATGTCACATGGTTTTATGCTGCATACATAAACTAAGAAGTTACTCAGTAAGTCTTCTATCGATGGGAATGGGTTGAGATCGGGGAAATGAGTGTGAGCAGAAAAAGCACTTGTACTATCCAATGTGATGGAATTTTTAATGAGAGATTGTAGACGAATAAACGAAGGTGCATAATTTGAAACTTGTAAAAAGTTAATAAAGAGTGAAATTAATTTGAAATTAGTAAATCCAGGACTTGGACCATTACGAGTTATACGTAATTCACGAGCAAGATATTTTATGAGAGCTACAGACTTTGGAATTTCAGGGATACATAATGTTAGAAAATGAAGAATTTCAGCCATTTTAGTCCCATAATGTTTTGATTCCCCATTATTCATCAAAGGAGGTTTGGTAAGCGATGAAATATCCAATCCAACTTCAAGAACACGAATTTGATCCAAATGAATAATAGGAACTCGACCAGTGTATATTCTTGAGTATTTAAATCCTAATGGATCCAATTTCTTTAACATCATCTGTAGAAAAGATAAGAATCTGTTCTTTAAACAATCTGGATCTAGAGATATTATTTTCGTTCGATATAGATCCGATGTCAAATAGTTTGGTTTGGTATCACGAAGATACTGTAAATTGTCATAATTCAATGGTAATTTAACAACAAGGTCTACATCTGAACTAACTGATCCTAAACCATTTAACACAGAGCCAAATATTGAAACTTTTGTCCCACGAAATATGAAACCCAGGATTTCTTCAATACTATCACTTAGAACAAATCTAGCCAAAATATCCAGTTCAGTTAAACGTGTGAGGTGATAAAAAGTGGAAACTTGATCATCAAATGATTGACAAGACATAAGTATACTGGTCATTTCTTTCGAAGACGGGACAGATGGACGGATAGAAAGATTTGCTTTTACACATAATTTCCCAGGATACTGATAAGAAGAATATTTTGCGACATTCTCAACTGGCCAAATCGATGGATCGGAGTTGATGCGAAACATTGGGAGCCTGAACATACTCTTTTTGCTCTCCGAATTTATAGCACAATGTACACAGCGAAATGATGAAATTTTGTGCAAAGTATAGCGTAGAGATTCGGGAGACGAACTTTGAATCAACAAAGTGCCAACTGGTTGAATTTCATTTTTCAATGGCCAGTAAACAGCACGGTTTACTGACCCTCCTATCTTCAGGAACGTATCAATTATATAGGGTACGCTCGCTGGTGAACAGGTCAGTAGGACACTTCTCCTAGCTAAACTTCTGTAGACAGCTGAATTAAGTAGCATAATCACCAACTTGTACTACAGAAAAACTATCAAAAAAGACTAACACACTGAAATAATAGTTAACCTTACCTCTGAAGCTAAGGGTGCCTGCATACAAAATAACTCCACTTTTAAATCTCCCAAGTCTGTATGGAGTGTTACTGCCTAAAATGAATAGAAACAACAAACGATTGCAAACATTGTTAAGTAGCAGGTATGCTAATGACTACAAATTAATTATAACGTACATCAGATGCTGGTTTTTCAGGTCGGATGCTATAAAAACATTTGAGAGTTATATATGTGTGTGGACCTAGACGTATTTTAACAATCCGCTGGACTGTCTTACAAAATAAGTATTTAAAACCGAGAAATGTTTACTAAGTTTGGGGTAATCAATGGAATTAACACTAGGAACAGGTCCGTTAATGAATTAGACAATGGTAGTTTACTAACCCTTTAGAAGATCAAACATTTTAGAGATTATTCGAGTTCTATGGTTAAAAGTAAGTTCAACTTCGATTCACCACACCAGTTTCTACTAATCCTATTATAATGGGATTGTGAAAAGTTCTACTTAGGTTTAGATACTTTGACCAATATTTAGATTACCAATACCGTGGACTAATTTAATCTACAACGATGTTTAAGAAAAAGGGAAGTCTACGGTTGGAGAGGTTTATTTTGTAAAAATTTTACATAAAATGACACTTCTCATCACCGACATGAGTTAGTGAGATACATATCCATGTATGAAAGGTATTCCAGTAGAAACCAATTTTTGATACTTTCGATAACTTTCTCCGAAAAAATCTACTAGTGCCTTTTCTTCAGCATATATTCTTCCTTTGAAAAAAACAAATGTCATTATAGTATAAGCGACTAGACACAAGGGATTGATCAGTAAAATCTGAGTACCAATGCACCAACAGAACCACCCAACATAAGCCGGATGGCGAAACCACGAGTAAACTCCACTTGTTACCAACTGATGTTTGCGATTTTTTGTGAACTGCACATAATGATTGAAATTTCCCCCAGCTGTGAGCAGAGCTAGTTTACGTAAAACTTCGCCGAAAATGCACATTCCAGACCCCAGACAGTTGATAACAGTAATACTCCATCTATATGATGAAAACACGTCGTATAGGAAGTATTTCTCTAGCCAGTACTCAAGTACACTCGCGGTAAGGGCTAGAACATATTCAGAGCTATGTGTGAGCATATATATGTCAAGTGAACAATTACTCAGGTTGTAAATGGAAGTGAAATAAAACTCGGACCAGTGGAAAAATGCAAGGAAGTCAAGATAAATTCCAAATGTACAAAAGTCACTTCGAATTTTCCTCATGGCAGATTGAAAGGCAAAGAATGATCCAAGACCGAAAACACAGCCTAGAAAGTATGCGCGCCAAAAGTTCCCATAAATAGGGCATTGATGGACGCCATTGACAAATCTGCTTACGTTAGATACAACGATTAGCGATGCGGGGACTAGCAAACAACTCTGAAGAAGAAGGGACTTAAAAACACAGTTTAATATCGAAGAGGAAACATCAATGTAAAGAAGGAATAGAAACAAAGTAGAACCACATACGAAGCTCCAAAGAGACACGAGAGAATCCACACAACGCTCACAGCCCACAGATGGCTTGTTACTCATCAGAGAAGTAGCAACCTGTGCTTAGTCACAAGATATTTTTGTTTACTAAGGGAGAAATGGAACTAGCGTGAGTGAAGGGGACTGGAAAAGAGAACCGAAGAAAACGTGAGTCAACAACCCAGCAAGTCCACACGATGAACTTGAACTTATCAACAAAAGCAGTAAACGACAGTCCGAAATAACACAAGCCTCGGATTACTGCAGTCTTAAGATCGAAACTAAAAGCACATATACCAACGGCACGGTAGAAAAGTTATATCTTTTCAAAGTCGCCCGCCGTTTCGTTTCAGCGACCTTGGACAGCCTCACAATAAGCGGTCAGTACGTATTTCAATTGCTGTGTGTTTATTTGCTGTCTGTTTGGTCGTATAAATACTAAGTGTTCTCATATTTAAGTGGTCTTTGGCTGCAGAAAAACCACAAAATCATTGCGAAGAACATTAATTTAGCTCTCTCTGTCTTTTAGTTCACACGCTGAATCGACTGTTACTTCGTAATATCCCAATCTCCCCATTTTGGGGAAACTTTTTTCTGGTTGGTGTGAAGTTTGGGGATAGTTTTGGTCGCGGACGTCCTGTTCTGTTTGCCTGGAGGCAAAATAACTGCGAGCAGATGTAATCTGGATTGCAGATAAATTGTAACATGCCAGTGTCCTTGCAGTCATATGCTACTGGACTCTTTCAGGTAAGCTCAATCAGTTACGAAGTATATATATATATATATATATATATATATGTATATATAGTTCATCATATTCTTAGACACTGCAATTGATGGGAGATAGATAACACTCACACCTTCCATAATAACATAACAATTTCGCTACCGAGACGACGCAAACAGTATGTACAGATTCAACGAAGCCAATGTTTACTTAAGAATCATCAGTAAGTAGGTAAGACTGCAGTTTCTCTAACGTTTGTTGCTGTGCGGTTTTCTTTGCGATAGAAAATATAGATCGGAATGTAACGAAGTGTGACGACCTGACAGGAACTGTGTACAGTAAGAAATTCTTTTAGTAGTATTTTTAATTTAACTGTACATCCAACTTGTAGACTGGTCTTTCTGCATCGAAATTTGTTCTTCCTGTACCAGTAGTGATGATGCATATATAAACTCGCATGATTTTTATTTTCGTCTACTTTGTAATTTCGTGGGGAGATATACCGATAATCTTAACGGGCAACTGTTTGTGGAAATTAAAAACAAAGAAGTATTTTCCCTATAAATACCCGTTTCGTTACGAAACCTTGTAGTACAGCATCAGCTTAGAAGTTTCGCCAGTGTTGCGTTGTATATACACGTTTCTTCACTATGACAGTATATTCGGATGGATACCTGTAGTGGCACTGTTTCCTAACCACGCATATAATGACTGAAAAGATGTATATTCGACATGTAACACTTGGAGAAGGTCGGCAATGGTGAACATTGAGACATTCATTCAATCGGATGCCATGTCTCAGCCTCGAAGACATGGTCATTATGTGTAACTCATTACTATTCACATTAAACACATGTGTTCTTCAGAATTATTAAGTACCATTGTGGCTTCCACGTAAGATCTTACAGATTAGGCAATCACATTATGAAACATTCACCGGTTTCGGATTATGTCTACTATCAAAGTAGTATTAGTACCGAACTGAACTATAATTTAACTTCCTAACAAGATTTATAGGACAAAAGACTGAGTACAGTTGTTCTATATATATATATATAATTCATTAGATGAATGAACGTGGCAGGAGTGAATATATAATACGATTATCATCAACTTCTAAATTGTTTCTCCACATAATATTCCGCATTCAGAAATTCACTAACTTACTGACCGGCATAGTAATGTTATACACCGTTTCTATATATGTTCGTAAAGCGGGCAGAAAAGGCTATCAGCGTCAATTGTAACCCATATAATTTTTCTTTTTCAGATACGTTGCATTATAATATATCAGTCCACTCAAAAACGATGATAATTATAATGGACAGAACTATTTATGGCTGTATATTAGCAACGAATATAATGTTCAAAAATAGTTTAGCGCTTAATTACTTCAACCTAAATTTTATAAACAACTACCAACATCCATGTTCATCACCACCATAATAAGAAAGGTGAATCAAACTTAAATTGTTTTGAAGCTCATTTTCACTTGAAACTCTGATTGCGGTCAATCTTTGACTTGGTAAATGGTGACTTCAACTTGCATGAGTTTACTTACATACTTACTTACGCCTGTTACTTCTAATGGAGCATAGGCCGCAGACCGGCATTCTCCAACACACTCTGTCCTGGACCTTCCTTTCTAATTCCGTCCAATTCTTGTTCATTTTTCTCATATCTATCTCCATTTCCCAGCGTAATGTGTTCTTTGGTCTTCCTCTTTTCCTCCTTTGACCTTGAGGATTCCATGTGAGGGCTTGCCTTGTGACGCAGTTGGGTACTTCCCCCAATGTGTGTCTTACCAACTTTCAGAACTTCTTCCTGATTTCTTCCTCCACTGGGATCTGGTTTGTTCTCTCTGCCAGAGCACGTTGTTGCTGATAGTGTCTGACCAACGTAGACAGTTGTCAATAAACACTTGTATGCTCTGGATGATGGCTTTCATAGTCCTTCAGGTTTCTGCCCCATACAGTAGAACTGTCTTGACATTTGTTTTGAAAATTCTGACCTTGGTGTTGGTTGACAGTTGTTTTGAGTTCCAGATGTCCTTCAGTTGTAAATATGCTGCTCTCGCTTTACCGATCCGCGCTTTCACATCTGCATCAGACCCATCATGTTTATCAATGATGCTGCCCAAATATGTAAAGGCTTTTACATCTTCCAAATCGTCTCCGTCAATTGTGACTGGGTTGATGCATTCTGTGTTGTATCGGAGAATCCTGCTTTTCCCTTTGTGTGTATTGAGACCTACTGCTGCTGAGGCTACTGCTACACTGTTCGTCTTCTCCTGCATTTGTTGTTGCGTTTGGGATACAAGGGCCAGATTATCTGCTAAGTCTAGATCGTCCAACTGCATCCTAGATGTCCATTGTATCCCGTGCTTCCCTTCAGACGTTGATGTCTGCATGATCCAGTCGATCACCAGGAGAAAGAGAAAGGGTGAGAATAAGCAACCTTGCCTAACACCGGTCTCCACTTCGAACGACTTTGTCAACTGTCCTCCATGCACGATTTTGCAGTGTAATCCATCATATGAGTTCTGTATGATATTGACTATCTTCTGGGGCACGCCGTAGTGTCGAAGAAGCTTCCATGGTGTTGTTCTGTCCACGCTGTCAAATGCCCTTTCGTAGTCAATGAAGTTGATGTAGAGTGATGAATTCCATTCAATTGATTGTTCCACAATGATCCGTAGAGTTGCGATTTGGTCTGTACACGATCTATTCTTACGGAATCCTGCCTGTTGGTCACGAAGTTGGGCGTCTACGCAGTAATTCATCCTGTTTAACAATACCCTGTTGAAGACTTTTCCTGGTATTGAGAGAAGAGTGACGCCCCTGTAGTTATCACACTTGCTGAGATCGCCTTTCTTCGGTATTTTGACCAGGAGTCCTTCTTTCCAGTCTTTTGATACTTGTTCCTCATCCTAAATCTTGCTGAAGAGAACGTGGAGTATCCTTGCAGTTGCCGCTACGTCTGCTTTTAGTGCCTCTGCTGGGATGTTGTCCGGTCCTGCTGCTTTGCCACTCTTGATTTGTCTGATGGCCATGCTGATTTCTTCAATTGTTGGTGGGTCAACATCGATTGGGAGGTCCGTGGATGCTGCTTCGATGTAGGGTGGGTTCAGTGGAGCTGGTCGTTCCAAGAGTTCTTTGAAGTGTTCTACCCACCTGTTTTGTTACTCCTCAATGTTGGTGATTACCTCGCCTTCCTTGCTTTTCACTGGTCGTTCTGTTTTGCGGTGATTTCCAGAGAGTTTCTTTGTCGTGTCATACAATTGTCTCATGTTTCCTTCTCTTGCAGCCTTTTCCGCCGTCGTTGCTAAATCTTCCACATATTTACGTTTGTCGGTTCTGATGCTCCTCTTCACTTGTTTGTTTACTTCTGTGTATTCAGCTTATGCCTTGGCTTTTTCTGCTCTTGTTCGACTGGTATTGATTGCTGCCTTCTTGTTCCTTCTTTCTTGAATCTTATCCAGTGTATCAACAGTGATCCATTCCTTGTGATGGTGCTTCTTGTGACCCAGGACCTCATGACATGTTGAAGTGATTGCCTCTTTGATCCCCTTCCAGTTGTTCTCCACAGTAGTTTCTTCTCCATTGAGTAGATCATGAAAGGCCTGGAACTTGTTGCTGAGGACTATCTTGAATTTGTTGAGTTTGTTAGTATCCTGAAGAAAGGCCGTATTAAACTTTTGTGATATTGCCCGCCCCGTCGTCCAGTACGTCTTCAGTTTCAATTTCATCTTGGCGATCAGCAAGTGATGATCTGATGCTATGTCAGCTCTTCTCTTGGTTATCACATCCTCCATCGTCCTCCTGAACGTTTTGTTGATGCAAATATGGTCGATTTGGTTTTGCGTGATGTGATCCGGTGAAGTCCATGTGGTTTTGTGTATGTGTTTATGTGTGAATATGGTGCCGCCTATGACCAGCTTATTGGAGGCACATAAAATTGCAAATCTCTCACCATTTTCGTTTCTTTCTCCCAGTCCGTGTCGTCCCATGATGTCTTCATATCCAGTGTTGTCCGTTCCAACCTTGGCATTGAAATCTCCCATCAGAATGGTCAGGTCCTTTGTTGGGCACTTCTCGACTATTGACTGCAGCCTATTGTAGAACTGATCTTTAGCTTTTTCATTGTAGTCGTTGGTAGGCGCATAGCATTGGATGATGTTCATTGAAATACCCTCTTTCTTTGTTTTAAACGAGGCTTTGATGATCCTTGGTCCATGAGATTCCCATCCTATAAGTGCATTTTGCGCTTGTTTGGACAGCATCAATGCAACTCCTTGTGCATGTGGGGCATTTCCTTCTTCATGGCCGGAGTATAACAGGAGCTCTCCTGTAGTTAGTCGTTGTTGTCCAACTTGTGTCCAATGTGTTTCACTGATTCCAAGTCCCTCTCATTTCCGCAGCAGTTTGGAAGACTCTCCCGGTGTCTCACATTGTACGAACATTCCATGTATGTAAATAAATGGTTGATCTGGTTGTCAGAAGGGGCATCTGCCTCGTAACTTCCGAAGGAATTCGGCTTTCATCATGAGGCGTCATACTTCTTCTAAATGAAGACCTTCTGACTCCCAGAGCAGAGTTTAAAAGGTTTGAATAATTTTTTTCTGGTTAGCGTTTTTTAGCGAGTCAGTTTTCTACGGGAT